CCTATATCTATCTATACCTATCTTCCATCATCACTTACACTCTTACATTTATACCTCATATCCGGTCTCAGGACATTCCACCTATTCGCATGCTTTCTCTTCTTACGTCATATCACCGGACTCTGCTCTTTCTATCTAATCACCCTGCGCGGAGTCCGGCTTTGTCACCCTCAACCATCAGGACTTTTCTCTTCATCATTTCTTCAGGACACTAGTCTAGTTTTAGAGTTACAGTTCAGCAGCGCATAGAGTTCGATTGTACCTCTTGGAGGCCAGGCCTCGGCTGGCTATTCCACTTTTCTCACGTTGAAGTACAGAGTTCACCCTTATATTTTTGTGTTTCGTGTTTTCATCCTCTTCCCCTTCGTCTTGGAGCAAGGGCACCCTACAGAGGCCCCATCCAAGTAACATTACACAAAGATATTTAACGATTCCTGATTCGTGAATTCAAACCACCCGCTCATGAAAACTCTGTGCTCTACGTGATTCACATCCCGCGCTAAACGTTATCATGACATTATCTGCGATTTAAAAACCTATCAACCTGAATTTTGATGCTTTGGCTCAGCTATAGCAAATTGCTTATAGTTTGAACAACACATGGTGGAAAATGAACATTGCTCGATTGATGCTCGATTGAGAAGCTTGCTGAAACCGTTGTAGTGCGCGATTTGACTCACGTAGAGCTTTGAGTTTCTTGGGAGCGGGCAGTTCAAATTCCTCGAAACCAATGTGAGATAAAAACGTTGATATCTTCATTAGCAGTTACTTCCAGTAATATTCAATGCGCTAACCGTGTTTTACATGAAATTCTGGCTAAGAAACATGTATCAGATTGCTTAAATGCGTACCTTGTCTAGTGGTCCATTCGATGTCTTATCGGGCTGGTTTAAATTTCAATAATCGGCCCGCAGCAGAGACCTCACCATACGACAGGTTCTCGGGGCCGTGACTCCGAATTAGGCAACCCCTAACCCAAGGGCTAATCAGCAACGAGAACGGAGACGGGGTACGAAGTGTCCTTACAGCCACTCGACGGCATCCTTTTCCACACGACGGAAATGAAAATCCAAAATGGAAGCAAAGCAACCTCATCAGCGTAATGAGCGGCAAATCGATCATCCACGCCTCGTTACTGAAATAAGTACGGGTGACTTGAGAATTTTACCCTGATATTTCCCGGTGTTCCCTGACTGTGGGAACCCGGAACCCTGCACTGAAAAAAAAAAGAATCTTAAATTTGCCGCCAAGAAGTATTTCTTCTTAAATCAAGAATTTTGCTGGTTAATATAAGCTACTTTTTTGCTTGACCCAAGCATTATTTTTCTTGAATCAAGAAAAAGTCAGCTTAAAGCAAGATAAAAAAAATTCTTGGCGGCAAATTCAAGAATTATCATGCTTGATCCAAGCTACTTTTTTTTCTCAGTGTGTGTCATTCGAAACTCTGATCCTGAGATAAAACACGTCGATTTTTACAGCTTTGATGCATGAACTATAGTCCCCGGGCTGCAAAAACAATGTAGGCGACGGCTTAATTCGTCGCTCTTCTGACGTATGGATCTTAATTTCCGCGTGAGCCCTAATTTACATATAAACCCATGCTGTCTGGGGCTCATCCAGAAATCGAGATACGCCCTAACGTCAGAGAAGCGACGAATTGTACTAATCGATTGAAACTGCCCGGGATTAAAATTGCATCTCAAACTCAATAGATGTCGACCTTCATTACTCCTGGTTAAAAAAAAGGCTCATTTCAATTGATGATTTTAGCCCCGAATAGCGAAAATTAGTGGCAGAACCTTTGCGGAGGAGTAACGTTCACTCTGCATGCGTACACTTCTTTACGTGTTAAAGCTTACGGCGCCCAAGTGAGATTAGATTAAACGGCATGGCATCGGAGAAAGGGTTACTGAGAGTTTTTCTTCTTCGTTCAAGAGTACGGTAGAAATCTGCGGGGATTAACGAAACTGTCGCGAATCTGGAGCCCGGGGTAAAATCTGATGACCCTAATTAAAAATTTCCCCGTCACCCGTTGATCCGAGCAGTACCGGAGGGATGAAAGGATTATTTCATTCAATAGGTTTTAGTGCTGTTGCCTCGTTAAGAGATGCGCGTGGGTATTCGTGTAAAACCTGCAGATTTCCATTCGACCGACACACAGTGGATTGAGCCAGTCAATAGGAGAGGTCGGACAAAATATGAAAACTTTAAACGCTTATAACTCCCGTTTAAACAAAACTTTGACAGGGTGTCTAGTTTTTTTTTTCCATTTTGGGAAATCCTGATGAAATCCTGATCTGTCCTAATTTTTTACTGCTGCATCCTGATTTCATAATTTTACCATATCTTGTTATTTATCGGAGAAAAATTAACGGACGGATAGCCGATAATTAACGGAAAATAAGCGGACGGCCGACTTTTCTGAAATCCCGATTTTACGACCAATTTTTCCTCAAATCCTGATAGAATCAGTAAAACCGGGAAAATCCTGATGCTGGACACCCTGTTTGAGGTTCTGAAAGCGGTCTCATTCGTTTCCTCGTGCAATTGTCTACCGGTAGCACCCCTTAAAATTTAAAATGTGACGAAATAAACATCAAAATTTGCAACTTTAGTCAAAAATTTCATGTCCGACTCCTCGAATTTACTCGATCCACTGTGCGTCGCTCCATCGGGTGACTATGCTCACTCGGTACGTGAGAATGGCGATGCGGTGCGGGCGTAGTTGCATGGGTGCAGTGGCGTGGCGTGCTTCACGAGATATCGATTGATCTGCCATTCGAACCTATGGAAAAGGATCGATAAACAGGGTGCTTGCAACGAACGTCTTAATTATCGATTCTTTACTACAGCTTCAAATGGGGAAATATCGATAGTCAATCATTCACGCTCCGCCACCGCATAACTGAGCTGCACTTAAAAGGTTAAACAAATCGGAAATCAAAACTGAAGCTTGAGTCTGTCGTAAAATGAATTGAAATGCACACCAGTTTCGCAGTGAGGAGGAGTATTTATGTGATGAATGAATTGGATTACATATTGGATGTTCCTTGATCGTTTTGCCGACAGTTTCCTTTGTTGGGAAACTCCAGCAGCACTATTTCACAATCCAGGAGCAGTTGAAGATGGAAACCTGGAATATTAAGTTTTTAGAAGGGGGGGGAGGGGGGTTACAAAAAAAAACCGCGGCTAGACTCAAGTCAAGTGGTATATCGAATCGATATCGACTGATCTTAGTCTGGAAGAACGAGAGTACCGAAACTTTTTAGAAGGCATTTTGTGTTGCAAAAGGCATCAGCGCAAGGAACGCCAAAGTATTGGCAAGTACTGGAGAATATATAAAGAATGTATTCATACAAATAAAGATATATACTCTGAGGGAGGGAAATTTGAAGGACAAAATAAAGTATAAAATGAAATGTATCCAATTAACTCGAAGACATAACTTAAACTGGTGATGCTGCCCGCTGGCTTGAGAGAACTCTGAATAATGATAAACCTCAATAATCGCCGGTATAAATGTAACTTGAATGTTATTTTGACGGCAATTGCCATGAATTCTTGCACCATTAGACTCAGCTCTTCGCTATATGTATGTCAGTGAAACGGCTGGTCTGCAGGAACTTAGAACGTCCACGTTCTTCCCGAAGGAACACCAAATTCCGACGTGAATAAGTACGCGGACCAAGGAATGCATGAAACAATGGTCAATGCTATTTACCCTGACACCCGCATTGCCATCGGCAATATTATCACCGCTGCAAACTTTTCGAAAATTTGCTATTATCTAATGAAGTCTAGGATTGACCAAGTGTATTCTATGGTTTCAGGAAGACGCCCCGCGACACGCGTCGGAATCCCAAGAGAATTCGCGCTGCTTTGGCTTGCCGATATAATAAACGGAATCGGTCTTCTCATAGTCCAAGGTGGCTGCCTAAGATATTGTCCAGCACCAGAGGCAGACCCAAAAGCTCACGAGAACCGAGTGATATCGTTTGGAACGCACCAACAACTCCAACAGTTTACGAACCTCATCGAAGCGGCAGTTGTCAGAGAGCTGATACGTCCTGGATATATCTTATCAGTCCCCACTGGCACAGGATGGTGGATGCTCTCGGCAAGAACAGCATTCAACGTAGCTGAAGTTGCTGATGACGCAGACAATGTAAAAGTTATCGCAGTGTTTAAAGAATGGACTCCTGCTGACGCAATCTATTGTGGAATCGTCCAACGTGGAAATGCAGGCCTCGAAGGAGACTCAGATGCTGCAATTAAGAGGTCAACAGACGACTTGCTTGGAATCCCAGGAGTTAGGTCTTCATTCGTTTTACATGCTTAATCTTGATGTTATTTTTAGTTGCCATACATGTTACCCTTTTGTCATAAATCATTAAAAGAAAAAATTAAATTCATACTTCAACGTGCGTATAACTCGATGCAACCCAATGGCGTGCTGCATTTCCTGCGGGTTGTGGGGCTGCGTTGCCAACTCGTCAAAATATGCGTATGAAGTCACTTAAATTCTACTTCTTTTTTCGTCTTTTCATGCGTGCGGTTTTGGTGCAATTTCAAGTGAAAAATTTCGGACTGTGCAGTTTTGGGTCAACTTCGTTGGCGAGGTTAATGTACGACGGGCATCATTTTTGCAGCATCATATCCGACAACTGCAGTAGCGAGACGTGAATGTTCGATATTTCCCCATCTAAAACTGTGGTTAATAATCGATTATTAAGGTGTTTGTTGCGAACACCCTCGTTCGATCCCTTCATCGATCCTTTTCTATAGGTTTAATGGTAGCTCAATCGATACATCCCAAATCGCTCCGAGCAGCCAAGGCCACTGCCGAAAAGAAAGATTCAAAGAACGGCAACTTAAACGCCGTCACCGGAGTGCGTTTCCGTCGGACGGTATTCACCATTCTCAGATAAATAATATGAAAATAAAACACAGGCGTGCACAGATTTATCAGAGAGGTAATCGTTGATAGTAACAGTAATTACCTGGGTAAATTGAGCAAGACAAAAACGGTAGAGATGAGCAAAAGCATTTTCGTTATACTTTGCTGAGTTCTCGTCGAGACCAGGTTCGTGTTCGACGACCGCACATCTGCAAAAAGAACAATTCAACAGGTTATACCCACGACAGTAAAGAGGCTATGAAACGCAATGGTTGCGATACTGATCCTCGTTTGGTGAAACAAAGGGAGAAGGGAGGGACACAAAAATAGTGGTTCATCCGATATAAATACGAAATTGACTGGGAACCTGGGTTAAGTTCTTCCGATTTCGATCAATGCTTGCGTGTCCTTCTTTCGGGCGCCCTCCACAGCTAGCTCTTGATTAATCTCCAGAATGACATAATTTTAGTCATAAGGAAACTAGCATATTTTATCAAAAAAAAAAAAAAAAATTCAAACTTTATGAATTTTTTGTGTTTCTGAGTTGAGGTTGTCAATCAGACACTCCTCGTAAGTTTCATCCTTTTTATTTTCAGAATTGCAAAGGTGAATTTGGATTTCAAAAACCTTATTCGCGACCTCACACGAGTCCGAGCGTTTGATAATTCCACACTTACGACCTCCTTCCCGGTCAATAGGAAATCCTATCGGAGTACCGGCACTTCTTAACTCCGCTCTACCGCCGTTCAGAGGAAGAGCGCCGTATGTACATTCGGGAGTTGCCAAATTTCCCCGGATGAAACATGTATATTTGAGAAAAGTTGTGCGTGTTATTCATTGAAATGTTCAGATATTTTAGATTAAATTGCAAAAAAAATTTCCGAAAAATTTGAAGAAAATTATTCGCAACTTTCCCAGTGAATATCGGTTTTTATTTGGTGAGATAAGTCCACAGGTGGAGGTCCATAATCATTTAAATTTCTTACTTTTAAATCCTTTGAAACTTCCTGAGTGTCGAAAGGAACGTTTAGACATTAGCATTCAGGGTTTCGATTTTGCCGAATTTATGTTCTTTCATTTTTACAGTTTACTCTGCATCAGCCATTTTTACACGCGAATCTATACCACTGGATGGCTTGTTACGATCGCTGACTTCAAAAATCATTTGAAAATATAAAAACGCAAATTCAGCTGAATTGAAACTCTGAACGCTAATGTCTAAACGTTCCTTTTGGCACTCAGAAAGTTTCAAACGAATTAAAAGTAATAAATTTAAATGATTCATTAAGAAAAATTTGTTCTCTCCCATAAGAAAAGCATTCTTTCCGACTTTTCTGGTTTTTGCGACGGTCATTGCTGACGTCATGCGCAGAAGATTCTCATTTCGGTTTCGGAAATGACTAACCTATATGAATAAATCTTGGTCTACGTGGCGATATGCGGATCGCGGTGGCAACACCAGACTGTGCAAGTCCAGACATACGCACGTGTACGCATGCGTAGAGACTGTACAGGTGCCAGTGCGAGTCAAGGCGGATTAAGAATGGTGGTCGCATTTCGATTTTGGCTGCCATCTTGAAGCGTTGTGACGTCAGGAGAGTACGGGTTATGCCGTGCGATCCGAGGTTGAGCCGGTTCCCCCGGCCTAGGCCGGCCCATGTACCCGAAGTACCCAATACCGTGTGACGCCCAGATGGTACGAAATGCGACCACCATTCTTTGTCCGCCTTTAAGGCGAGTCGTACCGCTCGAGTGAGAGCATCACTGCAGTGTGACATTTGTTTTGAATTGCTAATAAGAAACATGGCGAAGGTAATATTCTCCAGGGATGAAGAGGAGCTGCTAATTAACTTGGTCCAAGAAAATCCTGGCTCAAAGAAGCTCACCAAAAGTATCCCTGTTCATTGTAGCAAGGCACACTGTCACAATAAACCTGCACTCCCGCGTCATCGTCGGATATACTGATGACGAGACTGCCGACGGACGCGGCGGAATTTTGAGGGCGATTCCGCTGCTTAGTTGCCGGGCACGACGGAGCGGAATCTTACGCGACGCCTCGCTCGCTCGGGCTCGGGTCGTCCGCCGCGTACGATTCCGTATCTTAATTGCCGTACCTTAAACTCTTAAAGAACTATCACTATATAATCTAGGAGATACGAGATTCCAATTTATGGTCCTCTCTACACTAGATTGGTTTCATTTAGTCCAATTACAAATCGTAAGTAAGGCCGAAAACAAGAAGTTCGAATAGGAACTTCCGCATGAACAACTTTCGAAGTACTGACAGTTTCGGCTCCCACGTCTGATTCGTCACACAAATAGCCCTGTCGTTCGCGCCCCACTGCCGTTGAGAAAGTTTGACTGCTCGATTTTGGGACGAATCGACGCCTGTTTATAATCAAATTTCCAGATCGACCCAGCCACATAGTCTGGTTCCATACGAGAGCCCCAGGGAAATGCCCGAGATTGTATCACAAAATGTGGCGTCACTAGACAGTATTTCATCTGAGTCCGACAGTTTTGGATTTCCGCCACACATTTGTGGGAGAAATTGACAACTCATAGGATTTTTTACCGTAGAAATTAAAAACCATGTATATGCTGCAGAAACCTCCAACAGGTTTGTGGGAAAGATTCACAACTAAATTACTTGTGAGGCCCCTAGATCTGCGCCACAACGAAACTTTCACAGCCATGCTCTTCAATTCCTCACCCATTCCTTCAATACCAAAATTCACTAGCGCTTTCAAGAAAACGGGACATAAAGTACCTGAAGAGCGCGTTGAAGGAAATATGAGTTGAAAAAAATTGCGCTTATTTCAATTGACGAAGACCTTGGATTAGGCACTAGATATCCTGCAATTCAGAAAGGGTCACACTTCTAGGACTTACATCCGTCTGACAGAACCGATTCTATATTGCCGGTGGTTTCAGAAAAGCCGAAAAAAGTCGGGTAGTCTCGCCTGCGAGGAGGGTAATTTTATGTGAAATTGGATCTTTATCCATTGAAATAACCCCATTCATAGAAAAAGAAAAATCCTTAGTAAGTAATTCGAAGAAATCGCCAACAACCATTTCCCAAACTCCCAGGAGTGACGCTCTGGAATATTTGACTTTCTCGTAATTTAGACTTATCTTATGATTTCCACGATGTATATATATTTTTAAGCTTGTGCCAACTAGTGTAAAGTAACTGTGATATATTTATGTTCAGATGAATATGTACTCCGAAGATGGCGTAAGCCGAGAGGTGCCTCAGTAATTAATAAATATTCAATACAACACCTTGGTTCTCATTCAAATTTACAAATAAAATGATGTTGTTCAGATCAAACCTTATTAACCATTTCAATTGAACTTATGAGATGGAATAATGCGGAATGGTCTTATCAGTTTGGATTGAGAGATCCAGGTGCAATTTGAAGGCATTATTTTCAAGTATGGTCTCCTATGAGCGCCTCTCATACGGCCGCTCAGCTTTGTTCAACTTTCCATATCTTTAACATTTTTTTTTCCTTTCTTTCTTTCTTTGGTCAAACAAATTTTTCCCATAGCAATTTGATGACCCAATCAAACCGTCCTGCTTGCACTTCTTGTCCAAATTCCCCCTTAACGGTAGATCACGTTCTTTTGCGTTGCCCACTTTATAAAGATATCCGAAAACGTTTTTTTCCCTACCCCTTACCCTCTCTTATAAATTTACTTCTGAATACTCATCCTGTAAAACTTTTTGAATTTATGCGCTCCACTAATCTCAAAATTTAACCTTTCCCCTCAACCCTTTTGTATTTTTACTGATATTCCCATGTAAATTTATTACTGTTACTGCCCTCTTTACAGGTGTAAATGGCCCTAGATGCTAAAGCACCGCTTTAAAATAAAATTATTTTACTACTACTTTCTTTTTTACACTCGGAAGAGGGAACACTTTCGGTACTTTATATTTTTATAATTTTATTTAAAAATGATCGTACACAACAGAAACATCCACCCATATTTTATTCGTGGGACATTGAATGCCGAAGGATACGTCCCCCCCTCCATTCAAAGCTTTTGGATCTCCCAGAAAATGTCTCTCCAAGTTACAGCGCAAATGTGGTTTCAGCATGACAACGCGCCATCATGCTGAAACCTTTGTCAACGCTGAGGAAACTCTCTCGCACTGCGAGCACAGCAACCTTGCCGAGAGCTCCCATTAATTATTTAATCTCTTACACACCCCCACCCATATTTTAACATTTTCCTAGTGATATCTTAAAGGCGGATTTAAAGAATCGAATCGACAAGGCTTAAAAGGCGACAAACTATGTCGAGTCACTAAGTTCAGGAGAGTATTAGAAAGTTCCCTTCAAGACGGCTTAAAATGAAGCAGCAATCCATGAATTCATGAGCATGCTGAAGGTGCTTGCCTGCTCAGAAGTTAATAGCTGAAGGGAACGAAGGTTGGAATATCGCGAAATTGAGAATCACTTTTCACGGCTAGGGGCTGCATTTCAACAAGAGATAAACTATAAAGTTTCTTTTGTCGGTGTCTTACAAAGACAGCAAAACAGCGGTGGGATGAGACTCTGAAAGCAGCAAAAGGGTAACGCTATTGAGAATCCTTTGCAATTCCGGCGACGTCATACCTTCGGTTAAATTTTAGTTAAAATTGTGTATTGGGATTGAAAAATATTTAAAATACTTTTCTATCTACGTATCATTCATAGAACTACAATTACTTAAGCGCGCTGGTGATTAAAATTTGATTACTGTGGTTTGAATTTGGATTTAAAATTCATTACAAATTCCAGAGCGTAAAAAAAGGGTTACCACAGCAACCATCAAAATGTTGAATGACTAAACCACTATTATTTCCAAGATATTCTTTTGAATAAAATTTTGATAAATCGGGGATTCTGCATAAAACTACATCTACTGTATTAACTGCGCAAGTGAAAGGTCTTGATTCGCATGATGCGTTCGAACGAATAGCCGTGTTTTACCCCAAGGAATCTCCAACAGCACGTAAACGCACGTGTTCCGCGCTTTGTGTGTTTTAAACTCACAAGTGATAGATCTCGATTTGCATAATGTGTTTGACCGAATAGCCATGTTTGCAACCCCAGGGATCTCCAAATACACGTAAGCTAACATCTTCCGCGCTTTGTGAGTTTTAAACTCACAAGTGATCTCGATTCGCATAATGCGGTCGACCGAATAGTCGTGT